CTGCAGAAATGAGGACTATAATTGTTATGAGTGCTCTTTTATATTTTGTTGTGACTATTACACATGTATATGACTAGTATATATGTTTGATGTCTTATTTGAATACTGTTATGAAGAAGTAACTCATAGTAATCAATCTTGCATTATATTAAAAGAAAAGAAGGAAGAAAATGTAGATATATTCACTTATATACCAATATATCTTTTTCCCTTTGAGGTAGAGTGTTTGTATTGTGATGGCCAACTTGGCTAGACGTTAGTACCCAGACATTTAATCAAAGACTAATCTCAGTGTGGAGGTATTTTGTAGTTGTGTTTTCCATCATTAGTTTAAGTCGAGAAATCACTCTCAATAATGTGGGTGAGTTTCATCCATTCAATTGAAAGCCATAAAAGCAAATCTGAGATCTCACAGAGAAGAAATTCTACCTGAAGATTGCAGCATCAACTCTTGTCTAAATTTTCATCCTGCCCTACAAATTTCAGACCTGCCAACCCCTCCCCATCCACACATAATTGCCTACCCTGGTGGAATCCAAAGGGGACATCTTACACCACAAATGTAAAAAACAAATTTGTAAGGGGACTTCAGCATCCTTAAAGAGCTGTCTTCATTCTTCTCAACAGAGCAGCAATTATAGCAGGAACTGCTGCAAATGGATTTTAATTCTTAAATGCAATGGGCCTAATTGAATTCCAGGCAGTATGCGCTGAATGCTGACAGTTAACACCAAAGGCAAGGTGGTTATATACTGTTACCATAGTTGACAGTGGACTCAAAGCAGTGCTCAGAATAGTATGGCTAGCAGAGACCATGGACAAACAGAAGACGGCAACGACTATGAAGGACACAGAGGAAAATCAGCCACTTATGGGTACCCAGGGATGGAAGGATTCAGTGCTCACAAGCTCTGAGCTCCCTCTGACATCTCTCCATGAAAAGACAACCTCATGGCTCTTGAGACAGGAGGAAACACATGGAGCCATTACTGGTTACCACTGCTGCTGTTGCTGCTGCTACTAAAGTCACTCTGCAAGTATAGAGACCATCCCAGAAGAGGCCTCAGGCATCATCCAGAATCCTGTGGAACCGTCACCAAGGGCTCATGTAATGCCCACAGGGCCTACTCACATCCATGAAAAATGGGTCCTGCTTAACCATTGCTGTTGTTAGTACACAGATAGGAGGCCCATATCAGATCATGATGAAACATTAACCACCTTTACCTTCCAGATGCTGTGGAGGGCATGTGAGGTGTAAAACACATAGCTTTTGTGTCCTGTGAACCAACTTGAACATCTCTTCACAATGTTCATTGCCCTTTCCAACAGGCATCTCTGATTTCTAATTAGTATAATTCACAGGTTTCCCATCCAGTTGAACAAACAGGGCCCTCCTTCAGGTCCAAGTGTTGTTTCTATTGTTGTTAAGTGCCATCTAGTAGGTTCTGACTCATAGCATCCCTGATAGGGTTTCCAAGGAGCAGCTGGTGAATTTGAACCACTGACCTTTCTACTCAAACTGACCATGCAGTCCAGTACATTATCCTACAGTGCCACATCAGGTCCAGGTAGGTGGCAGTATTTCTTTATGAAGGCCATTAAGGCTAGGATTTCCTCTAGTTCACAGGATGGAACTGGTGGCATTCAAATGGACGCACAATTCTCTAATGGACTGTCAGGTGGTCAACTAGCTGATGCTGAGGAAGGCTCTATTTCCCACCACCACCTATTTCCCCATAAGATCAAGAATGACAAACAGAAAATCCCAAGTCAGGATATTTTATCAGAATCTGCACATACCTCAGTGTGTGTGTGTCCACATGCGTTTGCATGCATGCACCCAAGCAACTGAGGGAGTCTAAAATGCTTCATTCAGCCATGATTTCTAAGGTTTCTGACTGTTCATTCAATGTCAGTGAATTAACAGTATATATTATATAACTTGGCTTTAACAGAAAAATACATATAAACAGCTGATGAATATGTTGTGATCTATGGCTCACAGCAGAAAATACCAGAAAGATGTTTACTTGTGCTTTATTGACTATGCTAAGACTTTTGACTATGTGAATCATAATGAACCATGCATAACTTTATGAAGTACGGGGATTCCAGAACACTTAATTGTGCTCATAAGGAACCTGGACATAGACCAAGAGGCAGTCATTAAACAGAACAAGGGGATAATGAATGACTTAAAATCAGGAAAGATATATAGCAGGGTTGTGTTCTTTCACCATACTTATTTAGTCTGTATGCTGAGCAAATAATCTGAAAAGCTGGATTATATGAAGAAGAACATAGCATCAGGATTGGAGGAAGACTTATTAACAACCTGTGATATGCAATGATGAGCCTTGCTTGGTGGAAATGAAGAGGACTTAAAATATTTAGTGATGAACATCAAAGACCATAACCTTTGGTATGGGTTGTATTTCAATGTAAAGAAAACAAATTTCCTCACCACTGGACCAATAAGTAGCATAATGATAAATGGAGAAAAGATTGAAGTTGTCAAAAACTTCATTTTGCTTGGATCCAAAATCAAACTTTTGTAAGCTTTAGTCAAGAAATCAAATGACATATTGCATTAGGCAAATGTGCTGCACAAGACCTCTTTAAAGTGTTCAAGAGCAAAGATATCGTGGCCTGACCCAAACCTTGGTATTTTCAATAGCCTCATATGTATGTGAAAGTGAGACAATGAATAAGGAAGACTACAGAAGAATTGATGCATTTGATTTATAGTGTTGGAGAAAAATATTGAAAACATTATGGACCGCCAGAAGAACAAACAGATCTGTGTTGGAGGAAGTACAGCCAGAATACTCATTAGAAGCCAGGATGTTGAGACTTCATGTCTCATATTTTGGACATGTCATCAGGAGGGACCAGTCCCTGGAGAAGGATATCATGCTTGAGAAGGTGGAGGGTCAGCAAAAAAGAGGTAGGCCCTCAAGGAGATAGATTGGCACAATGGGCTCAAGCATAACAACAATTGTGAGGATGGTGCAGGACCAGGCAGTGTTTCATTCAGTAATTTTGTTTGGGAGGCACTGATTAGAATAAGTCACATAATACACACTCAGTAAATGCTGATGACCAGGTTGACCAGAATGTTTTTTCTTGGAGGAAAGCAAGCAAGAACCAGGGAAAATGGGCTGTTGTCTCTGCTCTGCCACCCACATGCTGCATATCCTAGGGAAGGCACTGTGGGATACTGTGCCAGGCATAGGGTACACTGACTCCCTCAAAGACATAAATTCCTAACTGGTCATTAGGCTGAGAATACAGAATACTGTGAAATATTTTTTTATCAAATCATCCACTTCAGTAGTTTTTGATCATTGCTGAACATTGCAACTACCAGGAATGTTTTGTTTAAAAGAAACTTGTAAGAGAAATAAGTCATTTGAAAGGACAAATATGATATGATCTCATTTACATAAAAAGACAATAAAAGGTAAATGCATACAGGCCAAAGTTTATCAGTGGTTACCAAGTTTATTAGAGGGTGAGGGTACGGTGCAGTACATTACTTAATATGGTCATTCTAGCTATAGTCTCTGATACTCCCACCAAATGATTTGTTGTTGTTGTTGTTGTTATGTGCCGTGGAGTCAGTTCCAACTCATAACGACCCTGTATAGGGTTTCTGAGGAGTGGCTGGTAAGGTTTGAACTGCTGACCTTGTGATTCAAACTGACTTTGGGGTCCAGTGCATTATCCTACAGCGCCACACCAGGACTCCACCAAATGAGTAGCTCTATGCAAATATGAGGTGCTCATTGCCCACCAGGAGGTTTAGACAGCTTGTTAATGTAAACAAGGTGTATGCCACCTTGGGGAGATGAGAGCATGCAAATAAGCTGTATCTTAATGAGAGGATTGGTCAGTTTTGCCATCCTACTAGGCTCAAAATGAATCACAAAGATAGAAGAGCCAGGAATGAAGCACATCCTTTGGTCCCAGATCCCTGCACTGAGAACCTCCTCAGTCCAGAAATCAGAAAAAAGAACAGTGGCAGAGAATCAGCAGCAGCAGAACCAAGTCTGACAGGAGACTAGCGGGTGATGGTGCTTTGCTAATGGAAGAGGAACAGCTGAGGGTGAGAACTGTAGCACAACTTGGAGAAGATAATCGATTTCACTGAATATTGCAAGTAGAAAACATTGGATTGGTGTATGTTCTGCTATGTATAGTCTCAACAACAACAACACAAATACTTTTTTAAAATGACCAAAAACTGTGCCCATTCCTACAGCAGTTTAAGCAAATTATCTATGGTGAGGTCTTGGAAGGAAAGAGAGGTAGTTAGAGAGCAAACAAAAAGTAATCAGTTGGCCTCGAGTCAATTATGATTCGGGTTGCATGTAAGTCATACATTTGTAACCTAGCAACTGCCTACCACACTTGTATTATGACCTCTGATAAAAATACATCTGTTGTCCTGGGAAAAAAAGGTGACTCATAGTGAACTCATGTGTTACAGAGTGTTGTTGTTAAATGCGTGAAGTTGATTCCGATTCATAGTGACCCTGTATAGGGTTTCTGAGGCTTTAAATCTCTGTGGGAGCAGAAAGCCTCAAGTTTTTCCCATGGAGCAGCTGGCAGGCTCAAACCTGGACCTTGTGGTTCACAGTCCAGTGCTTATCATATGGAGCCACTGCTCACTAGGGTTCTGTTGGTTATAAGCTTTACAGAAGCAGACAGCAGCCACACCTTTGTCACATGGAGCCATTGGATGGGTTCCAACTAGCAACCTTTACCTTAGCAGTAGATTGCAAAATGCTTGTGCTACCCAGGCTGCTGGAACAAGGTTAAATGGCACTTTATTTTTATCTTAATCAGTGAGCCAAAGTCCACTCAGAAGGGACTACAGCAAATTTACATGACTGGTCATTTTATTCATCAGAATTCCGAGGTAAGTAGCAGAAGCTTTATAAAACTCCTGGATTGGATGTCCAGAGTTGCCTGAGTTAGAGAAAAAGGCTTCAATGGATCTAGCAGTGATCCTGGTGCTCTGCGCGTCCTGCTTGCTTTTCCTTTCATTCTGGAAACAGAGCTATGGGAAAGGAAAGCTCCCACCTGGCCCCACTCCTCTTCCAATTATTGGAAATACTCTGCAGTTAGATATGAAGAACATCAGTCAATGTTTAAGCAAAGTAAGTATATCTTATAGCCTTCCAGTTGCATGCAGAAGGTAAGTAAATCAAGTAGGTACTTTTCCCCCCCAACTTTTTGTTTTTTACAATTAAAAAACAGAAAATTTTCAGTTTTAAATTCAACAAATCATACACTTTGTTTCATCTCAATAATTGCAATCCCTTCCATATAACAACAGTTATCCCACTTCTTTCCTGTGGTTCTTATTTCCATTCTCCTTTTCATCTCTTCTCAACTACATCCTTAGGTGATGCCCTTTTGATCTTGAATGATTGCCCATTTCATGGTAAGCATACCTTAGGAGTGTCGGTGTCTCCCCTATATACCTCTCTACTGCTTGGCTGAAAATTGGGCCACAAGAGTGAGTACCGTTCCAGACGTGAAGGGTGGTCAAGAGCTGTAGTCTCGGCCATCCAGTTTCTCTCTGACCAAGCCTGGTCTATTTTTTATATATAGTTTTGTTCCACATTTTCTCCCACACAATCCAGGCCCACCTAATGGGATCCCTATCTGAGCAGTTGGTAGTGGTAGCCAGGCACCATCTAGTTCTTCTGGTCTCAGAGTCATAGAAACTAATGTTCACATGTTTCATTGGTCCATTAGACTAGTTGATTCCAGGCATCTTCAAATTTTTATCCCTCTTCTTTCTTCCACATATGGAGACCAATAGTTACACTTCAGATGGTGGCTCATGAGTGTTTAAGATCCAAGTCACTACTCACCAAAGTAGAGCAGAGAATATTGTCTTTGTGGACTATGTTATGCCAATTGACCATGGCATCCCCTGGGACTATAGTCCTGAGCCTCCAGGCCCAGAAACTCATTGCCTTAAGATGTTTAATAATGTCTACAAAGTTTTCATCATTTTGTTCCCTGTATGTTCCACCTTTGGGGAAGCAGAAAGTCTCATCTTTCTCCCTCAGAGCAGCTGGTGGGCTCAAACCATCAACCTTGTGATTCGCAGTCCAGTGTTTATCATACGAGTCACCATGCTCCCCAAAATATAAAAGTAGATAATTGTAAAATAAAATACTCCCTGTGGATTTTACCATTGCCTTTGCTTTTTAAATCTGTTGTTGTCTGAAATAGAGGGATGAATTAATGCATTTTTTGAGAAGATAAATAGTAAAGTCATTGTAAGAAGTTGCTGTTGTGTCCCGTCAGTTTCAACTCACAGTGACCTGTATAGGGTTTCTGAGGCTATTAATCAGTATGTGAGCAGAAAGCCTCGTCTTTCTTTCATGGAGCTGCTAGACTCAAACCTCTGACCCTGTGATTAACAGCCCAATGCATAACCCACTTCACCACCAGGGTTCCACCCATTGTAAGATAGAAGCTAATTAATAAGGATTAATAAAGTAGTTGCAAGGCAAAAATAGGGACTATGGCTACCTTCAGTGTTTCAGTCATCAACCGTGATATTTCGGATGAAAAGAAATGGTATTGGAAGTGTTTCATGATTAGAGATTTCATACAAGACATCATCTACTGTATAATTATGTGTTTTCTTCAGATTGTCCAGGAAAAATAAACTTCTCCTTAGAAGCAGATTACTACTGATATCAAGGAAATGATGGGCTGGAGAACAGCAAGAGTGAAAGAAAAACAGTAGTAATATGTGAGGTCGTGGTGGTGAAGGCATCCTTTTAGACTTTGCACCAATGGTGTGTTGGATATTGGCCCAAAGGTAGACAATGGAGACTGAGAAATTGCTAAGGTGTCAGAGGTTGAGTTAAGAGCAGATGAAATTTGGATCTTCTATTTAACAGCGGTAGCGAAATAAAACATCTGCAATATAATAATAATATCTGTGTAAATCATGCACAGTATACAGAACAGTTACTTCTTTTACTAATATTTGCATCCGTTTTCCTTTCCCCAGTTCTCAAAAGCCTATGGCCCTGTATTCACTCTGTATTTTGGCATGAAGCCCACAGTGGTGTTGCATGGGTATGAAGCAGTAAAGGAAGCCCTGATTGAACATGGAGAAGAATTTTCTGGAAGAGAACCCAACCCATTGATTGACAAAGCTAATAAAGGATTTGGTAAGTGTGTGTGCCTTTGATAAGTAGAGGGACTGAACAGAAATTAAAGCTGCCCAGGCAGAACCTGGCCCATTCATCTGTCTGCCTAGGTCAGCATCCTCTTTCTTACAAAGAACCTCCCTCCTAGTTTTTGTTCTTCCTCCTGGTAGGGATCATTTTCAACCAAGGAAAAACATGGAAGACTTTCAGGCGCTTCTCCCTCATGACCCTGAAGAATTACGGGATGGGGAAGAGGAGCATTGAGGAGCGAGTTCAAGAGGAAGCGCTCTACCTAGTGGAGCATTTGGAAAAAACCAATGGTGAGTGATTCCTTACTCTGTATCGCTGACCTTTAACAGACCTCTCTCTTCTCCAATGGGGTCCTTGGAAACATTTCAGTGGCAGGCAAGACTCTCTTCATGGGTAATGTACAATAATTGGAGCACAACGCAATGAGGAGTTTGTATATTCATAGCTCTGTGTGTGTGTGTGTGTGTGTGCACCTGTGATTGTATTCACAGGGTGGGAACAAAAGATTCCTTTAATCCTATTTAATCCTGGCTTTGTTTTGTTTTACATGAGAAAGTCCTGAAGGGAGAAGGTTTTGAATTTTTTATTTACTCTGCACTAGAAAAGAATGTTTTTGCCTTAGCATAACTAGAGTCACCTGTTCCAGAACATTTGGCCAGAGAATACTTGTCAAAAAGACACTGTGGCAATTACCTCGTCACACCCTTAAGGAGCATGAAACGAGTGTCCTTTGTTTTCACTGCATTTGACTCTCTGAGTATTGTCAGACTCACTGTGAGTTTCTGCCAAGGCCCACACATGCAGTTCTGACCAGCAATAATGCTTATCTATGGTTTTCATTGCCTGCTAACTAAAGGGTCAGCAGTTGAAACCTATCGTCCACTCTGTGGGAGAAAGATGTGGCAGTCTGCTTCTGCAAAGATTTGCAGCCTTGGAAGCCCTATGGAACCGTTCTACTTTGTTTTCTCAGGACCTAGAAGTCAGAATCCACTCCAGGGCATCTCCTAGTGCAAATCTCATCCATTGTTGTTGTTATTAAGTGTAGTGAGTCAGTTCTGACCCACAGTGACCCTGTACAGGGTTTCTGGGGAGTTATGGTAGCAGATTACAAGCTAGACTACTAACTGCAAGGTCATTAATTTGAATCTACCAGTCACTCTGCAGGAGAAATGTGAGGTTTTCTGCTCCTGAAAAGATTTACAGCCTTGGAACCCTATACAGGGTCACTATGAGTCAAAACCAACTCAGTGTCACATATCCACCAATAACCAAATCTTTGTTGAAGCAAAAAGCCGCTAATAAGTTTGAACTGCTAACCTTGTGGTTAGCAGTCCAGTGCTTATCTTACATAGCCACTGTGATCCCTACTGCAAATCTCAGTTATGATTCCTGCAAACTATTTTTAAACTATCAAGATGAATTATTTAATAACACTCATTACTAACTGTATTCACTTATATATTTTTTAAAAATCTAAGTCCTGGAGTAGCGACATAGGATAAACACTAGACCACAAAGTCGATTTGAGCTGCAAGTCAGCAGTTCAAACTCAGCAGCCACTCCTTGGAAACCCTATACAGGGTTGCTGTGGGTCAGAACCGACTTGACGGCACTTAACAACAACAACAAAAGGTATGGCACAATTCTGCAATATACACAAAACAGCAGTTTATAAAATTATTTGTTTAACTAGATCTGAAGAATTGTTACTAACACTTGCCTCTGTCACCTTAGTAACAAGTTAGTACTGTTCTTTTTGTTTCTCTTTGCCCAAGAGAACTGAATGTGGGGTTAGAGCATTTATACAAATTCTTTACTTCTTACTGCCAGGATTGCATACAGATTGATATTCTAGGCATTAGTAAGCTAAAATGAACTGGTATTAGGCATTTTGAATCTGACAGTCTTATAGTCTACTATGTCAAAATGACAAACTGATAAGGAATGGTGTAGCATTCATCATCAAAAAGCACATTTCAAGGTCTATCTTGAAGTACAATGCTGTCTGTGATAGGATAATATCCATAAACATACAAGGAATGTCAATTTTTACCTTTATTATTCAAATTTACACACTAACCACTAAAGCCAGTAATAATGAAACTGAAGAAGAGATCTACCAACATCTTCAGTCTGAAATTGATCAAACATGCAGCCGAGATATATTAATAATTACTGATGATTGGAATTCAAAGGTTGGAAACAAAGTGAAAGGATCAGTAGTTGGAAAACATGGTCTTGGTGATAGAAATGATTTTGGAGATCACATGTTAGAATTTTGGAGGACCAATAATTTATTCATTGTAAATACTTTTTTTAAACAACATAAAAGACAACTATATGCATGGACCTCACCAGATGGAATACACAAAAATCAAATTAACTACATCTATGGGAAGAGACAGTGGAAAAGCTCAATCAATATTATAAGCCAAAACAAGGACAGGGTCAGACTGTGGAACAGACTATCAATTGCTCATATGTAAATTCATGCTGAAGCTGAAGAAAATAGAAACAAGTGCATGAGAGCCAAAATATGACCTTGAGCATATCCTACCTGAACTTAGAGATCATCTCAAGAACAGATTTGATACCAAAGACCAGAAGTGTTGTGGGATGAAATCAAGAACATCATACAGGAAGAAAGGTCATTAAGAAGACAGGAAAGAGGGAAGAGACAAAAATGGATGTCAGAAGAGACTCTAAAATTTGCTCTCCAGGATAAAGAAGCTAAAGCCAAGGAAGAAATGAGGAAGTAAAAGAACCTTACAGAAAATTTCAAAGAGCATTTCAAGAAGACGGAGTCAAGTTTTATAATAAACGTGCAAAGAAATGGTGATAGAAAACCAAAAGGAAAGAACACTCTCAGCATTTCTCTAGCTGAAATAACTAAAGAAAAAATTCAAGCCTCAGCTTGACTATTGAAGGGTTTTATGGGCAAAATATTGAATGATGCAGAAAGTCTCCAAAGAAGATGGAAGGGATGCACACAGTCCTTGTACAAAAAGAAATGGTTGCTGTTCATTCATATCAGGAGGTAGCATATGATCAAGAGCCAATAGTACTGAAGGAAGAAGTCAAAGGTACATAAGGCATTTGCAAACAGCAAGGCTCCAGGAATGGATGGAATACAAATTGAAATTATTCAACCAACTTATGCAGCACTGGAGGCACTCATTCATCTATGCCAAGAAATTTGGAACACACTTACCTGGCCAATTGTTTGGAAGAGATTCATAGTTATGCCCCTTCCAAAGAAAGGTGACCCAATGGAATGTGGAAATCATCCGTAACTAACATTAATATTACATGCAAGCAAAATTTTGTTGAAGATAGTTTAAAACAGCTGCAACAGTACATCCAGAGGGAATTGCCAGAAGTGTAAGCAAGATTTAGATAAAGAGATGGATCTCATTACTGACGTCAGATATTATTTTGACTAAAAGCAAAGAATACAGAAAGATGTTTACCTGTGCTTAACTGATTATGCAAAGGCTTTCAACTATGTCGATCATGGCAAGCTATGGGTAACATTGTAACAAGTATTCTAGAACATTTAATTTTGCTTATAAGGAACCTGTACATAGAACAAGAGGCAGTTGTTCAAACTGAACAAGGGGACACTGAATAGTTTAAAATCAGGAAAGGTATGCACCAAGGTTATATTCTTTCATCATTCATACTAATACAATTTGTATGATGAGCAAATTATCTAGGAAGCTGGTTTATATGAAGAAGAATATGGCATCAGGATTGGAGGAAGACTCATTAATAACTTGCTATATGCAAATGATACAACCTTGCTTGCTGAAGAGAACTTAAAATATTTACTGATGAAGATCAAAGACCAGAGCCTTCAGTATGGGCTGCACCTCAATGTAAATAAAACAAAAATCCTCACCACTAGATCAATAAATAACTTCATGATAAATAAAGAAAAGATTGAAGTTTCCAAAAACTTCGTTTTGCTTTGATCCATTATTGACACTCACGGAAGCAACAGTCAAGAAATCAAATGAAATATTACATTAGACAAATCTGCTGCATAAGACTTCTTCAAATTGTTCAAGAGCAAAGATGTCAGTTTGAGTACTAAGGTGTGCCTATTTTTAATAGCCTCATATGCATTAGAAAGTTGGGCAATGGATAAGAAAGACCACAGAAGAATTTATGCATTTGAGTATGGTGTTGGAGAAGAATATAAAAAGCACCATGACTGTCAGAAGAACAAAAAAACTGTTGGAAGCAGTACAGTCAGCATGCTCCACAGAAGCCAGGATGGCAAGACTTCATCTCTCATGCTTCAGACATACCAGGAGGGGCTAGTTCCTAGAAAAGGGCATCATGCTTGGTAAAGTGGAGGGTCAGAGAAAAAGAGCAAGACCGCCAATGAGATGGACTGGCACAGTGGCAGCAGCAATGGGCTCAAGCGCAACAATTGTGAGGATGGCACAGGACTAGGCAGTGTTTCGTTCTGTTGTGCATAGGGTCAGTATGAGTAGGAACCAACTTGACTGAACTTAACAACAGTCAGCTCTACTAAGAAACTGTTGTGGCACTGTGGCACTGGACAGATAACCACAATGTCAGCAGTTCAAATCCACCACATGAGGCTTTTGGCTCCCATAAAGAAGTACAGCTTCAGAAACCTATGCAGGGTGGCTATGTGTCTGAACTGACTCTATGGCAGTGAGTAGATTTCCTGTTTTACTCACCTATTTAGTATTTATCATAAGGACAGTCATTTCCAGCTTGGATTCCAAATTGCCCTTGATTTTAATTCCTTCTTTAAAATGAAAGTAAAAAAATGAAATTGTAGTTTAGCTTTGAACCACACAGCACACACACAAATTAATCTCAAATGGTTCCCAAATATCCTGCACCACCAAGCTAAGTAAAAACATTTTCCTGAAAGCTGAGATACCTACAGAGTTTGGGGTTTCAGATAACACAGGAGAATTTAGGTCACCAAGCTTCCTAGTATTCAATATGTCATTTCTTCACAACACTTTTGATTTGGGGGCATGTTTTAAAGTTTCATTTTACAAATCCCCAACTAAAACAGAATAAAATATTTCTTCTTCTTTCATCTCTTCATCTGTAAAATTATGGCACTGAATTAAATGATGTTCAAAATTTTTAACTAATTTAAAAAATAACATCAGTCCTGGCATGGTGCTGCAGGATAATGCACTGAACTGAAAGTTTGGTTTGAACTGCAAGTGGTTCAGACCCACCAGTAACCCTATACAGGGTGGCTCGGAGTCGGGACCGATGCCACTGCACTTTAACAACAAATTCTGTAGATGGCTATCTACAAGAGGGCATGTGTGGCCCAAATAAATTGTTTGGGGCTTGTTGGAGAATTTGATGTTACTTCCTCCAGGAACAAAGTTCTTCTCCCCAATAACTGAAACCAAAACCAAACCAACTGCCAGCAAGTGGATTCCAACTCAAAGCAACCCTATAGGACAGAGTAAAATTGCTCCTTACGGTTTTTGAGGCATAAATCTTCACTGAAGCAAAGAGCGATGAGTTTGAACCGTCACCCTTTCGGTTAGCCATCAAAGTTTAACCCAGTGTGCCACCAGGACTCCTCTATAACTGAAAGGAAGAAGTAAAAGGATTATATTTCTTAATTTAACCTATTTTGTTTGCCTGGTTCAAATCTACCTGCTGCTCCTGGGAAACCCTACACAAGGTCGCTATGAGTCAGAACCACTCAAAGGCACTTAACAGCAACAACAAATGTATCATCTAGGAGCCCTGGTGGCGTGCTGGGGTGTAAGTTTGGCAGCAAGGTCAACAGGTCGAATCTACCAGTCACTCTGGGCGAGAAAGATGAGGCTTTCTGCTCCAGTTAAGATTTACAGCCTCGCAAACCCTACACAGGGTCGCTATGATTCGGAACTGACTCCATGGCACACCACCACCACGAATGATTTAGGAGCTCTGGTGGTGCTGTCTATCTGCAGGATCAGCGGTTCAAAACCACCAGGTATTCTGCAGGACAAAGGTAAATATTTACTTCAGTAAATATTTACAGTATCACACAACCTATAAAGAGTCACAAGTTGAAATCAACTTTTTGGCAATGGGGTTTTACATGTATGATTTAGTTTTTAAATGAAAAATTCTCATTTTATTTTTATTTTAGGTAAAATACCTTCTTATAATTTCTGTTTCTTAGGTTTTTGCATGCAGACAGCATGGAAGATTTTTTTGTTGTGTTTTTTTCCTTTTTCCATTCGATACCTTAAATACCTAAATTTACCTGTAAATACTCTAATGCTGGTTCTATACGTGATTTCCCAACTATTCATTACATATGAAAAGTCCTGAGGTCCCTAACTCTTCTCTCCCTTCCTTTGTTGTTGTTAAGTGTCACTGAGTCAGTTCAGACCCATAACAACCCTATATACAATTTCTGAGGAGTAAGTGGTGAGTTTGAACCGCCAACCTTGCAGTTCAAACCAACTTTGCAGTCTAGCACATTAACCCACAGCGCCACACCAGGATTAATCACTGCCTTCCTTTATCACTGCTTCGTTGTCTACAAGCTTCGCGAACATGTGATTCTGCTTTTGTAGCATGAATTATTACCTATATCTAAAAGTGATGTATTTAGTTTTTCTTCAAAAATAACCATCATTGCTATTTTAAAAGGAGTCATTGTGTGACACTATAGAATAGCACTGGACTGCTAATGCAATGTTGGCAGCTCAAACCAACCAGCCACTCCTCAGAAACCCAATATGAGTTGAAACCGACTCATTGACACTTAACAACAATTATTATTTGAAATGATGTAAATAAAGACAGAGAATGTGAATGGAGTTATCAAAAAATATATATTAATTAGCTAGGATGGAATGATCAATTTAGATAATGGTCAATTTTAAGTTTTGACTTTTTTCTGAAAGTGGATGAAGTAAGAAGAGACTTGGGACATGCTGAATATTTTGCTGATGAGGGAATTTCTCAGTAGCTACTACTTTAAAGGCTCTAATGTTACATTTACCTGTTATTTCAATGACAGAGAATTTTATAGGCTAAATACCTATAAACAAATAATAGTATTTGTTAATGCTTCCATTTCTTTAGCCTCACCCTATGATCCAAATTTCATCCTGAAATGTGCAACCTGCAATGTGATCTGCTCCATAATTTTCAAGAATCATTTTGATTATGCAGATCGGGATTTTCTTAACTTGTTGGAAATACTTGATGAAAACATGAGAATTCTAAGCTCCCCGTGGATCCAGGTGAGCCAAGAACCTTTCTTCCTGAGGAATCATTTCTATTTCTTTCTCTGACAAGTGAAAAATTCTACATGAACCAAGCAGTGAGGTGAATGTCTGGATACAAAAATCTTGTTCAGGACATCATGGAGTGAGCATCTGGGAACTATGGCCAGGTCATTTATTTCTCTCAGAAGAAAACAAATGCTTAGAAAATCAGGTTTTCTTTAAGTATAATGGCTTCCCCATTTCAATAAAGTACTTTGGTGACTGGTCAAAAGTATACCTGTCACACTCTATGGAGTTCCAGCGCCTTTGTTAAAAAGCTTCCATTACTGTGAGGCCTGTCACAATCAATACAAAATGGCTTATTGATCAATAACGTGTAAGAAATATTCTAGTCTGAGATATCAAGGAGGGAGAATGTTTAGGACTAGACATGTTAGAAGGAAATGCTGACCACCTTGAGGCTAGTTGATGGTTCAGTTGGAATACCAGATGAAAAAGTGATTGGTATTCAGTATATGGCCCACAGTCATAACAATTCTACCCTGTGCTGAGCTGACATGTCCTGCACTCTACAAATTGACAATTGTGTGATCGTAGAGAAGTCATTTAGCTGCTCTGATGCATAGACACTTAATCCACAAAATGCTGCTTTGAATTTCATGAAATCCTTTGTTGTTGTTCAGTGCCATTGAGTTGGTTCTAATTCACAGGGACCCTGTATAGGGTTTTCAAGGAGCAGCTGGTGGGTTTGAACTGCCAACCTTGCAATTAGCAGTCCAGTGCTTATCCTGCCAAGCCACACCAGGACTCCATAGTATCCTTTAGCCCATCCCAATTCTAAAATCCTGATTTTATTTCTGAGTTTGAGAGGTAGAAGTAGAAGTAGCCACATCTAGCTTTACACTCTATATAAGGTTGCCCAAACTCCCTTAATATTACAATCATAGTATTTCAACGTTGAAGAAAAGAATTTATATCAAATATGACAGGACTTGGTGCATTTATACTTTGGAAAGAATACATAAATATGGTAAATTATTATAATATTTGATCATGTGTTCAGTTGTTGTTGTTGTTGTTGTTATGTGCCATGGAGTCGGTTCCAACTCATAGTGACCCTACACAGGGTTTCCGAGGCTGTAAATCTTTACAGGAGCAGACCGCCTCATCTTTCTCCCACGGAACCGCTGGTAGTTTCGAACTGCTGACCTTGCGGCTCACAGCCCGAGCCCGATTCGTAATTACTATGCTACTATTCTCCCTCAAATATTTCTACAAGCATAGAGAATTACTTTATATGGACAATAAGAAGCTCCTCCTCCAGGTGGAGACCATTGTCTATCAGATTAAGACCAGTTTCTAACCTTGAGTTGGCAAAGGACTCCTGCTGTGGCACTGTGGGTTAAAGCGCTGGACTACAAAGTTGCTTGAACTGCAAGGTTGGCAATTCAAGTTCACCAGAGACATTTCTCAGAAACCCTATACAAGGTCACTATGGGTTGGACTGTCTCGATGGCACTTAACTACAATAGCATACATATTCTTCATTAAACTTTTTTACTTAGCAGATGATTTTCTTCTCTTTTATTTAGTTCTGCAATACTTTCCCTGTGCTCATTGATTATTTACCAGGGAGTCATAACAAATATTTTAAAAATGATGCTGATGCAAAAAGTTTTATTTTGGAGAAGATAAGAGAACACCAAGCATCTTTGGATATTAACAATCCTCGAGACTTTATTGATTGTTTCCTGATCAAAATGGAGCAGGTAAAATGTCAGCAGTAGGTGGGTTATTTGCTTGTGTGTTTTGTGGTTTAATGAATAATTCTGTGCTCACTAGGGATGTTTAATTAGTCAGAAAAGTAATGCTTGATAAGCACTTGGAGTACTTATGTGTGCCTGGGCGTACAGTAAGTATCAAGCAGGATTTTAAAATTGATTTGTTGTATTGAGGAAGTAATTAGAGTAATTATAAATAATGAAATGGATTGCTATCAAGTTATTAACAATATACTGAGGAGAAATGGAATAAACTCTCAGGTTGGAACGGAAACAATTGCAAACAAATTGGAAAATACAAAATATCATGCCAGCAAACAAAGATGGAAACAACTAATGTCTGCAATATGGGACAGTGAGAGGAAATATTTGCCACGAGGGATGGGAGAAGGCATTTCAGATGGAGTGAAAAGTGCATGTAGACGATCAGAGCTACATGGTGGCAAAAGGATCATGTGGGTGGAAAAGAGAAGCCTGAGGTGAATGTAACCAAGATGAATTGGGACAGATACAGAGTTGGATCTTGGGGGCTGTCAGAGGACCTGTAAACATGAATTTTGACATAGAGAGTTTTCATTTGATCAGGCAGATGTATGAATCAGAGCAAGAACAGAGGAGATGCATAGAATAATCTGTAGGATGGCAAAGAAAATCAAGACCAGCTGGGGGATTGTTCATTTGCATTTTTTAGACTTGTACTTGATGACAGTCTTGACCTTGGAAATGCAAAGAAGTCTGAAATGAAATTAAGGTTGTCTGTCTTGCCATAGTTTCAGAGATGTAATATAGACTAGATTTAGTGGAGATGGAAGGTTGGGAGCCCAATTATAGATTTGAGTGGACATTTTCAGTTATGAGACCCGATGCCATATTTCAGAAGTTCAACCAAGGAGAAAAAAATTTGGATGGTGAATTTGAATAGTAAAAGGTCAAGTTGAAAATCTGTGGGAATGGCAATAAAGATGAGATAAGGACAGCTGTGTAGACGTAAGGTTGTCACTGAACTGGAGAGAGGCAGAATCCAGAACATACTGAAAAGAGCTAAACCTACAAAAGGCAATTCCTTCCACTTGGACCACCATTATTTTATTCAACTACTTTGCAGCTAATCTGCTAATAGGTCCAAATGAGAAGGATTCAAATTCATGGGATTTGAGCTGCCCCACTCAGAAATGTCCACATGATTTTACCTACTTGACTTGCACCAATGTACCAACCTGTCTTCTCAGTATTTTGCTCATATTTCCAGAGGATTCCTTCATGCATTGTAGCCTCTTCAACTATCCCAAGTTAAGGAGGGATCATTTGTCATTTCAGTTACACTGTTTTCATGAGACAGAGCCAACTCCACTTCAACTTATAACAACAATTTCCTCACAATTATATTTAAAAACAGGATTATTTTCCTGGTCTCCCGATTGTATTTAGAGTCTAGATCAATTTTTTGTAATGTCTATATTGAGATATAATTCATATACCATAAATCTCATCCTTCTATAGTGCATTATTTAAAAGGTTAACTGTTTATTTAGACTGCTGAAAATATAACTATCAATTTCCAAATGTTTTCATCACCCTGAAGGATTCTCCATACCAATTAGGAGTCATCCTCCATTTTGCCACAACTGTCCAGTCCTAGGAAAACACTAATATCATTTCTGTTCGATCAGATTTGGCTATTCTGGAAATCTCATGAAAAATGGAATTATACAATAATATTGTAGGAAGTATCAGTACTTAATTACTTGATGTGTCTGAATAACATTTCTTTATATGAATACATCCCACCACTTGTCTGTTAGTTTGTTGCACTGTGGTGGTGGCTTGCATGTTGCTGTGATGCTGGAAGCTATGCCACTGTAATTTTAAATACTGGCGGGGTCCCCCATGGTGAACAGGTTTCAGCTGAGCTTCCAGTCTAAGACAGGCTTCGAAAAAAAGAAAAGGCACTCAAAATACAACTAGGGAGGCGCTGCCACCTCAAAGTCAAGTTGACTGTAATGACCTGAATGGAGTAAATCTTTTGGGACCTTCATTTGCTGATAGGACACAACTCAAAATGAGGAGAAACAGCCATTAATAATCAAACTATGGAATGTATGAATTATGTTGTTTTTAAGTGCCGTCAAGTCAGATCCAAGTCATAGTAACCCTGTATAGTGTTTCCAAGGCGCCACTGGTGAGTTTGCACTGCCAACCTTTTGATTCTAATCGAACTTGCAGTTGAGTGCTTATCCTACAACACCACACCAAGACAAAGTATGAATTTAGGAACATTGGAAGTTGTCAAAAATGAAATGGAACACATAAAGATTGCGTTCACTAGGCATTAGTGAGCTAAATGGATGGGTATTGGTCATTTTGAATCTTATCATACAATTTACTATGTTGAGAATGACAAATTGAAGAGGAATGGTGTCTCATTCATCATCAAAAAGAACATTTCAACATCTATCTTGAAGTATAATGCTGTCTGTGATAGGATAATATCATATGCCTACTAAGGAAGACCAATTACTCCTATTATTCAAATTTATGCACCAACCACTAAAGCCAGTGATATGAAATTGAAGAATTCTACCAACTTGCTCAGTATGAAATTGATCAAACATGAAATTTTTTTGTATTGTTAATTAGATGTATTGATAATTAGTGGTGACTGAATTGCAAAGGTTGGAAACAAAGAGGAAGGATCAGTAGTTGGAAATATGTCCTTGGTGACAGAAAATGATGCTGAAGATTGCATGATATTTACATATTCAAATCACTATGAGTAGAATCAACTGGCAGTGGGTGGGTCCTTTTCTGAACTTGTGTCTCTATGAGCTGGAATCAACTCAATAGCACCTAACAACAACAACAACAAAAACAATCGATTAAAATTGATTCTGCCTGCGAATTACAAAAACAAAACATGTGGTTTAAACATATGGGGATGGGGGTTTATCACACATTTATCACACAAGGAGTTCCATGCTAGGCAAGCCAGGCTAGTACAATAACCTTGTAGCATCAAGGAGTCATTATCTTGCACTTGCCATCACTGCCCTAGGGTAAAATAACCACAAAGTTATAGTAGTGAAAAAAAGAGGTTTTAGTCTGCATACACAGCCAAGAAAGAAACAAAGGTGGGCAATAGAGAAACATGTTATCAGAATACTCTCTTTCCAGTAAATGAAGGTTGAAAAAATCACTAGGCATATATCTTTCTTCCACAGATATGTTAAAGACATTGAATCATTATGATTAGTTCTCAATACAGCCAAAAAACAATGTTTCAGAAATGACAGTTACTAGGGTCACACATTCAAAAGGAAAGAAGATAGTGGAGAACTGTCCTTCATCTACAGTTATCTTTGCCAAGAGCAGGAGCTGCCTGGGTTGAGAGCCTTAGCTCCTTCTTGTGAACACCTGTGAAGCTTTACCTTTCCTGAGTGCAAAATATCCCTTTCTACTCAAACTCACCAGTCGCTCCTCAAAAACCCTGTACAGGGTCACTATGAGTCGGAACTGACTCAATGACACTTAGCAACATATAAGAACTCTGGCACTGTAGGATCAGCACTGGACTGCTAACCACATGGTTGGTTCAAACCCTCCAGCTGCTCATTGGAAACCGTATACAAGGTTGTTATGAGTCAAAACCACCTCAACAGCACTTAACAACAACAACTCTCACGTTGTTATGTCAAAATTGTATCTCAATTGTATCAGGTAATTAAGGTGGCATTTGACTTCAAGGCTGAAAGATGGAGTCAGAATGTTGTCTTTAGGCCTTTAGATTCCAGGCCCTAAGGCATCACCAAATTTAGTATATGCCTTCATCATTTTACATTAATTCTCATGTCCCAAGATGATGTCTGCCCAACCTTCACCTTCACATCTAGGTTTTATATAAGTAGTAGGAAAGAGAAGAAGTGGTGCCAGTAGGCTTGTGCTTATATCTCATGGAAAGAGCCATGCTGTATGGCCAACATAACGACAAAAGATGTTGGGGGAATAAACATGTTTGGCAAGTACATGATGTTGATGTTGTTATTACCGTCAAGTCAATTCAGATTCATAGCGACCCTATACAGGGTTTCTGAAGAGTGGATGGTGGGGTGGGTTTGAATCTTACAGTTCAAGTGGATCTTACAGTCCAGTGCTTATCCTACAGTGCCACACCATGACTCCTAGTACATGATATTGTTCTTGTTGTTAACTGCCGTCAAGTCAGTTCCAACTCATAGCAACCCGGTATATAAGGTTTCCAAGGAGCAGAGGGTGGATTTAAACTGGTGACCTTGTGGTTCGCAGTCCAGTGCTGATCCTATAGTATCACACCAGGAGTCCTAGTACATAATAAGGGGGTAGAAAATGAAGACTGGGGTCAACTAATCTACAGTCTCTATCATACCATACACGAGTTTACTTTGATGAAACTACCCTTCCAGTTTCTAAGTTTGATTTAACTTTAGAACAGTCTTAGTTATTTTGGATTCCTTGTAATTAAATTTGGTGGTAAATTAATTTGTTAATATGTATCAAATTATTCCTAGGACAAACACAATCCGCTGTCTGAATTTACTGTTAACAACTTGATCATCATTTTATATGACCTGTTGGGAGCTGGGACAGAGACCTCAAGCACCACCCTGAGATACGGCCTCCTACTTCTGGTGAAGCACCCCAAGGTCACAGGTATGACCACAGACAGTGGGCAGGGTGAAACTCAGAAAGGAAGTCAGCAATGTTGGCATAGCCAGTGTTTCTCATCTTGTTTTCCTTAAATAAATTTCATTGTTTTAATTCCTATTCCAACAACTGTAATCTATACAGATTTGATGAAGGGATAAAAATGATACAACTTTGCATAACAGAAAATGTATGAACAGTGTGGACAATAAAAAACATGGTAAAACCCTGCTGCAATGCTGGCATCCCATAGGAGGAGATTTGGGTCAGGAAAGATTCAGGAAGTCTGCTGTATGCCAGGCCTAAAAAGCTGTCGGGTCAGAATGGACTCAGTAGATAATGTAGTTGTGAGGAAAGATGCCAAGAACTAGAGGGAAGTGATTGATTACCTCAAGTGTCCCACTAATTGGAAAATGTTAGTATCAGTTATAAAAACATACCTGAATCTCTGAAAATCTTAATTTGCATCTAAGAAATTATTAATTTAAATAAAGAGATACTTTTCAATTAAAAAAGTGTACCAAGAATCAAACATAAGCATAATCTTCTTGATATTATGTAGTGATAATGGAGTCATGGTGTGGCACAATAGGATAAGCACTGGACTACTAACCACCAGGTCAGCAGATCACATTGGTGAACTGGACTGCAAGGTCAGTTTGAACGGCAACAAGTGTAAATAATGACTCTATATACTAATTTATTCATTACTAGACAAAACAGGGAATCTGTCATGAAAGATTGTGATTTGCATGTTTAGCTCACCCTCTTACTAAACACACACAGACGTGCATATATACACATGCACACAAACACACCCACTCCCTTCACTCCATTTCCCCAATGTATCTATATCACAATTTTCAGCTATGTCGATATGCTTTTTTTTTCTTTTTTTTTTACATCAGTACTGTTGTTAAGTGCAGTTGTGTCGGTTCCAACTCATAGCCACCCTGTATAGAATTTTTGAGGAACAGCTGGTGATCTTGAACTGCCGACCTTGTGGTTCAACCTAACCTTACAGTCCAGCACAATCGACAATAACAACAATCAACCCGGTACACTGAGGAAACATAGCTGTTCCTTGATAGGAAGAATCCTTCCATTCTGGTTGGAATTTTGAGGTACTACATTCATAAGCAAAAGTCTAATTCATCAAACTGTAGGAATTTGCACTTGTTCACAGTATCAAACATCTTTATCTTCCTCGGGTCAAGTTCTGGTCAATTAGCCATACAAGCTAGATCAAATGGATACTAGCTACAATTTGGGGAGTTCACACACACCTCCCTGAACTTCAGACCAGCTGACCACTTCAAGATGATCCCACTGTACCTCTCTGGCCTATGATCAATTGAGGAGAGGCAGGGTTTGGTGTTAGATTAGGCAGAAAGGCTGTGCAGACCCTCTTTAGCAATGACATGGAAAATGGGATGAAACAGATTCAGAGGATAGTTTTGGAACTCTGAGCTTCAGATAAAGGGGTAAATAAGTGGACCCAGTGCTTGCCAGGAGAAAGAGTTTGAACAGATGCAAGAAAGGAGGTGGCTTCTGATTTGGGGCAGCCAATGTGCCCGCTGCCGCCATTTTGAATGAGGGTGAGCAGATTGAAAGACAAGAAAACATTGCCGTTGCAGAAGGCTGCCTTGATTTGCAGAGACAAAGGTTGCAGAAGTACACTGACAGGGAACCAGAGGTTCAGGCTGGATTCAGACAGGAACACGGAATGAGGGATATCACTGCTGACGTCACATGGATCTTGGCAGAAAGCAGAAAGCCAGAAAGATGTTTACATGTCCTTTATTTACTACACAAGCACTATCAATTGTGTAGATCTAGAAAAGCTATGGACAACACTGCAGAGAATGAATATTCCAGAACACTTAATTGTGCTCATGAGGACCTATACATAGACCAAGAGGCAATTCTTCAAACACAGCAATATGACATTGAATGGTTTAAAATTAGGAAAGGTGTGTCCCAGGGTTATATTCTTTCACCATACTTATTCAATTTGCTGGGCAAATAAGCTGAGAAACTGGATAATATGAAGAAGAATGTAGCATAAAGATTGTAGGAAGACTAACAACTCGTACTATGCAGATGATACAACCTTGCTTGCTAGAAGCAAAGAAGACTTAAAATATTTAGTGATGAAGAGCAAAGACTACAGATTGCATCTCAATGTAAAGAAACAAAAATACCACTGGACCAATAAAAATATCATAATAAATGGAGAAAAGATTGAAGTTGTCAAAGACTTCATTTTGTTTGGATCCACAATCAACACTCATGGAAGCAATAGTCAAGATATCAAATGACATACTGCATTAGGCAAATCAGCTGCACAAGACCTCTTCAAACTGTTCAAGAGCAAAGATGTCAGTATGAGGACTTAGGTGCACCTGACCTAGGCCATGGTATTCTCAATAGCCTCATGTTGAAAATTTGGACAATGTGAAATTTGGACAATTAACAAGAAATTGATGCATTTGACTTATGGTGTTTGAGAATAATATTGAAAGTACCATCTGTTGCCAAAAGAACAAAAAAATCTATGTTGGAAGAAATATAGCCAGAGTGCTTGCTCCTTAGAAGCACAGATATCAAGACTTCATCTCTCAGAATTCTAACATGTTATAAAGAAGGAGCAGTCCCTGGAGAAAGACATCATGCTTGGTAAAGTAGAGGGTCAGTAAAAAGAGGAAGCTCTCCAAGGAGTTGGATTGACAAAGGGGAGCAGCAATAGCCTCAAGCATAGCAACACGTGTGAGAATGGTACAAGGTCAGGTAGTATTTCGCTCTGTTGTACATAGGGTCTTTACAAGTTGTGTATATCAATTTCTGGTGGTTGTTTGCTGTTAGTTCTCAGTCTAAAGGATTCCCTTTAGTATTTTTGGGGAAGTTGGTCTGGTTATTACAAATTACTTTCATTTCAGTTTATCTGTAAATGTTCTAATTTTGCTGTTTGATTTGAGGGGTAGTTTTGTTGGGTAGTTGTTTGAAAGGTCTTTTTTCTGCAGAATTTTGTATGTATCTTCCCACTGCTTTCTTGACTGAATGTTTTCGGTTGGAAATCAGAACCTAATCTTATTGTCTCTCCTTTGTACATAACATTTCATTTTTCCCAAGTGGCTCTCAAGATTCGTTGCTTGTCTGTGATTTTGGATAGTTAAATTATGACATATTTTGATGATTTTCTTTTGGGTTATATCCTGTTTGAGGTTTGTTCAACTTCTTGAAATGCTCATCTTCTCATCTTTCATGATATTAGGGAAGAATTTTCTTCCAACCGCTCTTCAACTATCTTTTCTGTGATTTTTGTCTCTTCCTATTCTGGAATTCTACTCGTAAGTTATTTCTCTTAATGGAGTCCCACATTAATCTTACAGTTTCTTGAGATGTTTCTCTTTTTTTCTGATTGTTCTTCTAGTTTACTAATATTAATAAATTTATCTTCAAGCTCACTAATTCTAGATTCCATTGATTTAAATATACTACTTTGCCCTTTCAATGTGTTGTCATTTCTGAAATCTTAGTATTAATCTTCTGGCTTTCTATTTGCTGGTTTTCTATTGTCTCCAATTCTTTTTTTTGTTTGTGTTCCTATATTGTTTTCCTGAATTCTTCATTGTTTTTCTTTCCCTTTCTGCCAATCATTTGGAGTTACTTAAATATTATTCTCTTGAATTCTTTTTTACATAGTTCCAATGCCTTTTTTTCCTAAAAAATATTTTCTAACTCTGCCACTTGGTCACTTGTTTGAGTCACTCTATCTTGTTTTTCCAAGTGAACAAAGATGATCTGTTGTTTCTGAGACATTATGGTATTGTTCTATTTGTATTTAAGTGATAGTTGCATGTTGGTATGTTTTTAGGCATTCATCAACTTCCTCCTGGTGGATGTGATTAGGGAATGGAAAAATGTACACCATTCTCTGTTTGTTGTTTGTGCAGCTCAGTTTAGGATGGGTTTGACTGTTGGTTCTTGTAGTTGTTCAGGTATATAGCATCTGGTATTGGCTCTTGCCCAGTGAGTGAGTTGTAGACGGTATGGTTGTGACTAAGTTGTATGGGTATAGTTACTGTTCCCTATCGGGTGGGCAAAGAGGGAAAACATACACAAGAGAAAAAAACAAACAAACAAAAACCCAAAGAGTCACACACAAAAAATAGTAAAGGGGAGAAAAAACAGGCAATAAGAAAAAAGAATACAAAAACCAGAAAGAGAAAAGAGGGAGAGGGAAAAAATAGATGATAAAAGTAAGAGAGAATTTTTTAAAAGAAATAAAATTAAGCAAACACAATTAGTAAGAGAGATGAGTACAAGGAAAAGAGACCAGAGAGTAGTAAAGACACACCAAGAAATAAAAAGAAGAAAGAAAAAAAAAAGGAAGAAAAAAGAAGCAGTGGTTGGTAATAAGAAGCAAAAGAGAAGAAATGAAAGCAGAGTTGAAAAGAAATGAAAAGCAGAAGCTAAAGAGCAGAAGGGGATGAAACAGTAAACAAAAACAATAAAAGGGAAAAATTAGGCAGGTGCCACACCCAGAGAAGAGAAAATGCTGGGGTCTCCTGTCAGTCAAGGCGCTCATATGGTGGGTGAGCAAGGAATGAGACAGTGACACTCCAGCCCTAGTTCCTGTAAGCATAGGTATTCTCTGTTCTGGGCACCCAGTTTAGAAGTAGTTCATGTAGGCCCCAAAGAAGCTGGGAAATTAGGGTATTGCCATCCCAGAAGGCAGTCAAGGGCAAGAGATCCCGCTTGTCCAGGGCTGGCCAGAATCAGCTCTGCAGGTCTGAAGCAGGCCACATCTGATTCCAGATGTTGAAATTGATGTTGCTAGCTTCCAACTCACTTTGATGTAGCTTCAACCACCCAGAGAGTCAGAGCTTCACTGGAGTGTACCCATGTCAAGACTGGTCACACCTCTGGTCACCAGGGTAAATGGTCTCACTGCTATTTAAAAAAATAATAATAATACAAGAAAAAAGTTGACACATAGAAAA